GGCCGGGTTCAACTTCTTCGGATTGCGTTTATGCTGGCACGGGGGGTGGTCTGCCGGCAAACGGTTCCATTCCGTGGAAGGAATATTTTTGAGAGCATCCAAAATTGTCTCAAAACAAACTTGAACATATTTTTAAAGAGTTCGCTGCATAAAAATCCCCATCGTATTGTTATCTGACTAGTGACAGGCCATCCTTTCTCGGGGATCAAATTGGAGAAATTGGCTTGGTAATCCTGCTGAACATGTTTTGCAGTCTGAGCAGGCGCTATATATCTTTGGGATGTCTAAATTTGCTATTCAAAGTTAGATTATGATACAGGCAGTATGATTTTCACTAAAAGTAGTATTCTTGGTACACTTGCAGACCTGGCTTCACCAAAAACAGTGATTTTTCCCCATTTGAAGTGATTCCTTCAAAACGCATGGTTTGCTGAAGATCGGCTCCCCAGAGAATCAACATACTATTACTGTTAGATAGCCAAGGACATTGTGCCTATACTTGACAATTTTTAGGATTGAGTTTTGCCTCTGAGCTGAACAGTGTCTTATCAATGAACGCAGTGGTCAAGCGCGTGCCAGAAGTTCAGGATAAACATCAAAGAAGGTGTACTAAAGAAAGTAATGCAATTTTCGTAAAAATTGAGATAAAGACACGAAATTTTGCATATCTACCAATTAAGAGACGAGGAATATTATAAACATAAAATCAAGGCCTGAAAATCATGCCGCCGCGCACCAGCTTACGTCAAACTTTGTTGCCAAACGTTTGCCCCGCCCTGTAATTACCGTTTTTTATCTATTTTTTCTTCGGGGGTTTTTGGGACGTCGAAAAAGAAGCCACTGGGATCTGATCGGTTCGTACCATATTTGCAAAAGGCCGGGCCGGGCTGGTAGACGAATTTTCTCGGCCGGGCCCGTCCCGCCATTCATTGTTCAAAATTTTCCAATGAAAATTTGGGAAATTTTTTCAATTAAAAAAGGAAAAAGGTTGCATTATTCAGCAAAATTAACAAAGTATGAAATGGTCGAAAAATAGGCCGTTTTTGTCTAAATTTTTGAAAAAATTTCAAAAATTTCGAAATAAATTCAAAAAAATCAACGTCTGTAGGTACTCCCGGCCCGGCCAGGCCCGCCAAAATTCTCGACGGGCCGACCAGAGAATTCGCAACTATGGTTCGTACTGTTCCTGATGGTCGACTTGCATTTGGTAATCTGGAAACATTTTGAATAGTAAATTTCGCAAATCTCTGCGGAAAAATCATAACCCATCAGAGATGAGCGGAAGAGATTTACGGAAATTTACGGAAGACGGTTTATCTTCGAAATGAAAAATGCTACCAAAAAGCTGTCAACAGACAAAATGTAGATCGATCTCAATGAGAGCTATCGATTGCTACGAAACTTGCATCGAAATTTCGTTGGATTATTCAAAAAGAGTCTTTCTTCCGTCTTCCGTCTTCCGTGTGCCAGACGGAAGACGGCACACGGAAGAAACTCCATATCTCAACTCTCCATCACTATTATGAGATAACTTTTATACCAATAAATAACTCTCATTGAGATCTACATTTTGTCCGTTCACAACTTTTTGGTAGCATTTTTCATTTTGAAAAAAAAACCGTCTTCCGTAAATTTCCGTAAATCTCTTCCACTCATCTCTGTAACCCATTGCGAAAAAAAAAGTCATACCTCGGAAGAGAAACAATAATTTTTTGGATTGTATTAGTCACACTTTTCTCTACAAGGACGAGTTCGATTCAATAAGACTTTGTATCAATAAATCGTTTGATGCTCCATTTCTAACTCTAGGAATTGTTATCTTCCTTTGGACACATTTTCTATGTTTACTTCTTTTTTTCAATATTTGCTCTTGCAAAAACATTCGAATTTTGGGTAAATCAGTTTGTATTTAAATAATTCCAAAAATCGATAATTTGGCCATTATTTTGGTCATTTTAAACAACCGTTCTCTAATAGAAGGCCACCCAAATTGTCAACTTTGATTCCATGGATCTCGGTTCTTTTAAGAGATATCAAAAAGTGATCAACTGTTAAAATATTGCTAATATTATGACAAACGTTTTATCAGTTAACAACTTTTTGTTATGTTTCACGAGTATCGAGATATTTGGTCTCAAAGTTGACGGTTTGGCTGGCCTTCTATTAGAGTTTTTACGGTAGTTAATTGGGAAACCGCGTTCCGCCTCAAGCCCTGAATTGAAGCTAGGAATGACGTCACTTACATCAGAAACCAGTATAATCATAACCTGAGAATATGAACGTTTTTTGTGTATGCTGCGTGTTGAAGTTTTTGATTTGGGTCCTTCTATTTCGCAATAAGTGAAAATTTGAAAAAATAACTGGAAAATCCGGCTCCTATGGGCATCTTTGAGCTGTTTTAGATGAACTTCTAGGTCACATATCTGAGAAACTCTTGAGAAACATTTCTGTTAGTTGAAATTGTTTTATTTGCCAGATGGTAGAGAAACCATGAAAAAAAAAAAGACACTACAAAATCGAGACGGAACTCACTATCAAAGATCATATCCTTTTTTCAGCAACACGAAGGCTGTCTTTAGTATTGGTTAAGTTTATTTTCACAAGACATTGAATGCTCTCAATGGGACCAAATTTTTGATACTACCACCTAAAAGGTTTTTCATTTTAGAACAGAAACGACAAAGAAAATTAGATGAATTACACTAAAATAGGAGAAAAAATAATAAAATTTGATTTCGAAAAGAAATGCTAATGCACGTAACGCGAGGCACGCGTCGCCTTTAAAATTCGCCCAAACATCGCCCAAGATTCGCCAAGGTGGTGGTGGTCGGCGCAGTTGCCACAGGTCTAGAAGCTTCCGGTTAAAAGCCGCCCAAATAACGCTCTAAAGCCGCATCCACCCCTGTATTCGCCCTAAAGTTGCAGGCCACAACCGAGTTGCCGGCAAGCAAAATTATCATGCCGAAACCAAAATTCTCATGCCGACATGTCACTTCCTAGCCGGCATGAATGTTCATCTCGACTGAAATATGATAAAATTATGAAAATTTTGTCTGCTGACCACTTTCTGATTCCTCTCATGGAAATTGAGAGAAATCTCACTCAAAGTGATTTGAGTGTCTCTTTTTATATCCTCTTCTTATCGCATTTCCCGAAAAGCTACAGTAATCTCGGCCCAATTTTTACCATGAACGTGTCACGAGCCGTCTCTACCTAATCTAAAAATGACTGTTCGGTCACGCTAATTATCTAGGTAGGCTGATCATAAAACTCTGTCACTATATTCCCAAAAAGTGGGGGACCATGAAGGTACTGCCGACTAGGTGCAGACACCCATCTCAATTGGTACCTCCGTAAGGCCCTTCTGTTACAGGGGGTTCCCATTTTTCCAGTCATTCTTTTCCGTACATTTTCATCGTTTTTTCTAGTTCAAAATTCAGATAAATGTGTCCGTTTCGGCGAAATTGAGCAATTTTAAAACGTTCTAAAATCTTTGAATTTCAAACAACATATTTTGAAGGGGCCCTTCTAGTACAGTATTTACGGTATGTCTTTTTCTCTCTAACTCTCTAAGACACTAACTCAATGTTCCAAGGTTATCCTAGAAACTCAGATAATCGGACTTTCAACCTAGCTAGGTACATTTTTACAACTCTATGTAGTCTTCTTCCCAGTATTTTAATCCAAGGTTTGCAAAAATTCCAAAGTGTGAGTTATCACCTCTCTTTTTGAACTCATAACAAGTAAGACGTCAGTTCATTGTGCCGTATCCCCTTTTAGATCCGTTTTACACGTCGGCCTCCTTTGTATTTCCCACTGACTTGTCGGTCCCTTTTGAGAAACTCTTGGCATATACTTTTATCCCCAAAATGCATTTAGGGGTTATTGACAAGAAACTAAATAGTATGGCTCCCAGCAACAGCAGTAAAGTGTACCATCCCTTCAAACATATTTATCTTTTTTTCTAATAGAGATATCACAAAGTAGTCAACTGATAAAATTTAATTTAACACATTTTATTAGTTGATCACATTTTGGTATCTTCACCAGAAACCGAGATAATTGAGCTAAGACAAGAGCATCCATGTTTCAGTTCAAAATGATATAGTAGTGCTAATCAGCAAATAACTATTATGAAGTTATGATTTCCTGCTTATGACAGTACATTCATACAAAAATGCTTGATATTGTCACTACAGTCTCTCCTACAGTATCCCCCTACAGCATCCTTTTACAGTATTCTCCTACGACATCATTTCTACAGTACCCTACTACGTCATCATTTCCCCTTGGTCTTTTGTCTAGAAAGGGGGCGTGGTCTCCCCGAGATAGAGGGGCCCATCGTAAACAGGCTCCGCCCCCTCATGTTGATGTCATTTAGTCATTCTTTTCCCTCATTCACTTGTTTCTTCCGGTCCATGGGATCTTCCTTTATATCGATCTCTTCAGTTATTCAAGACCTTCTAAATGGGGATTTCCTGTATTTTCATCTTTTCAATTACCCTTTTGATACATCCTTTTTAAAATCCACTAATCAATTTGTATACTTTTTAGAACCCCAAAAACATTATGCCACCAAGAAAGGAGAACGCCAAGAAGACTTACACCGAGTCTCAGAGAGCACGGAAAAATGCCTATGAGCAAGCCAGGAAAGCCAAGAAGAACGGTCCATGGAGGAATTGAGAGCGTAAGTTGAATTGTAATTTATGGGTTCATTTTTTGTATTTTTCAGGCTGACTCGTCATCGCTTTGATTCCGACTTCCAACCGGAAAGAGTTGTGATTGTGGAAGCCGCCAAGTACATTGAAGAGCTTCGAAAGCTGCTGGCTGATTCGGAAGCAGCTCAGGAGGCTCCTCAGATGGAGATGGAAGACTTTGATCCCGAGCAGGCCGCTTATGAGATGTTCGGGTTGTCGCAGCTATCCAACATCGCCCAATCTTCTTCTCCACCAGCCACGGTCGTCCCAAACACCGCCATGTCTTCTGATGCCGCCTACAACCAGTGGAATGGATATCAGGAACAATATAGGATGTCACCACCATGGTCTATTGCTGAAAGTGCCACGCCGCCTACAGTCTTCGTCTCAAACAACTCCACTCCTCCTGATGGCGTCTACAATGGATCTGCTTCCCCACCATCCGTATCCAACAACACCTTCACGTCTTCTGAAGCTGTCTATAACCAATGGAATGAGTATCAGGAGCCGCAGCAATATTGTAAGTTTTAGAAATTGTTTTTTTTTAATTACTGATTTTCAACTTTTGCAGATTATCCACCGCAAGTCGATCTTCAACAGCAGCAGTACAACGAATATCTGATGAATGGCGGACAGTACTACTAATTCTTCTAAACTACCGTAATCTCATTTTTGTTCATCTCTCATTTCCATCCAATTTCCACCGGTCCCTTCAGTTCCGTTTCTTTCGTTTCCAGTCCCATCCCCTTGCCCTTTTTTCTTTCATTGGTCTCTATTTGTCTCTCCTTCTCTATTTTGAAGTTTATAACAATAAATAATCATGAAATTCAAACAGAATCGACTATTTTTCGACATGAACTTAGTCCTATTAAAATTACAAATTTTCTTTCCTTTTGAAACAGGAAATTTTAATCGAAAACCCATCATTTTCAGCTAGAAATCTGTAATTTTCCAGCCAATCACTTTTTCACTCAAAAAAAAACCAAATTTCAAATTCCCTCTCTTTGTCGCACTCTCGCTAAACAACGCGCGCCTGTCGTCATAGCCGGAGTGTCGTTGTTTTCTTTCCGTCGATTTATTTTTCAAGTTTTCTGACTCTTTTTTGGCAGTTTTTCGGGCAAAAAACATGTTTTTTGTTAATTTTTCAGTATAATATGTTAAAAACTGCCTAAAAATCGATAAAATAGCATGTTTGTAAGTGAATTCGTGAAAAATCGCTCGAACCCAAAAATACTGGGTTTTAGAAAATAAGCCAATTTCCCGGCGTTTTTTTTCAATGAAGCTGTGTCTGAAAACAAGCAAAAGCTAGATTTTAATATATTTTTCATGCTTTTCCTTTGTTTTTTTCTCGGATTTTTACCCAGAAAACCGGTTTTTGAGAACTTTTCGTTTTTTTTTTTCGCAAAAATTCATTTCCCCCCATTTTCCCGCAAAAACTTCAAATTCTTTTCAGCGATGGGCACCTTCACCGCCACCTACTTCCTCAAGACGGCCTTCTGGGACAAGAGAGGCCTGTGGACCGCCACACTGGCCGTCGCCTACTTTGCCCGCTGCTGGGAGAACGCCGGATACCACAAGGCTGAAATGATGAAGGTGGGTCTTTCTGGAGATGAAAATCAGTTAAAAGTGCTGAAAATTTGACCTAAAACCGTGAATTTTCACTAAAAAATCGAAAAAATAAACTTTTTTCGAATATTTGAATTTCAGGGGCACTCCCGTATGTTCGCCGATCGTGCCAAGCAGCTCCCAGCCTCCGCCGACCTGTGGAAGTACTGAAATTTCAGCGAAATCCAGTTTTTAGTCGATTTTCTCCCATTTTTTGTTCATAAAAATAAATTTTTTATTCGAGAAACAGCATTTTTAGTTCAAAAAATCGATAATTTGGTTCAGGAATCAGCACAGACGCAGTTGTTCTTCTCCTCCGAGCAAATCAGCGTTTTGTTGGGGCAGAACTGGAAAACTTTGGATTTTTTAGGGTCTAGAAGCTTCTGGAAGCTCACATTGTAGAAAAGTGTATTGCACATCCATTCCCAACAGTACCCGAATTCTTCTGATAGGCAAATAGAGAGAAAAAGTGCGAAAATTGAGAGGATTCTCATTTTTGGGCATAAAAATGCTTTTTGAGCGATGAAACTGTTGTTTAGAGCGAAAATACGTGTTTTTTCTCAACAAAATTTAGGCTTTCTTAAGTGTTGAGCTGGGAAAAGCACTAAAAATGACTTAAAATACCTGAAAATCACCTAAAAATTCCAAATTCAAAAAACCAAATTCAAACTACCGCCAACAACGACACTCCGAAATCCCGCTTGCGCGCGTTGTTTACCGTAAATCCATACTGGTTTTGCAGCTGTCGCCCGAGCCAAATGCACTGAAATCATTCTTTCTAGCTCATTTTTCTTGGATTTTGACCAAAAAATCAAGGAAACCAAATTTTCAGACACTTCGGGTCCCCGCAAAATGCTCAGTCGGCACATTTTTCAGTGTTCTAGGCTCGGCTTTGCTCCTTCAACGAGTCAAGCCGTTTTTCATACTTCCACAGTGAATTCTGTGCTTCCTAGGGTAAAAAATTGTGGTTTTGAAGGATAAAACGCTCTAATTTTTCAGGCAAAACCGCTAGACGAGGAAATGCCGGCGCCCGCTGCTTTGAAGACTTTGGAATCCAAAAAATCTCGCCCGGATTTTCAAATTTTGGATTTATCATCTGGAAAACGACATAAGAAGGATATTGATATCATCGGTATGATAAACATCTGTTTTTTAATGATTTTTAGGCCAAAAATTTAATTTCTTCCAGTCACCGATCAGTACCTCCAACAATGGTATAAAATGGAGACGAAAAGTCTAGCAGCCGATTATTTAGCGCTTTGCAAGTCGAAATTAAGCTTATTTGTTGCTTCAACAGGTAGTTCTTCGTCTTTTTTTCGTTTAAATAGACAGAAAATCTATTTCGAATTTTTGCATTTTTCAGCGACCTGCGGCTTCCTGATGGCTCCAGTACCCGTGGCAGCGGCTCCACTAGCTGCAGCGACGATTGGTGAGCTAAAAACGGCGAGGAAACTGATAAGCTCAAAATTTCAGGCACATTTCTCCTCTCATCGGCTGCCAACTCGTGTAATCAGCTTCTGGAGGCACCGTACGACGCCCAGATGAGAAGAACGCAGAGTAGAGTGCTTGTCGTGCATCGGTTGGTCTTAAGAAGCTAGAAAACCGGGTTTCGAGCTTGAAATTCGCTATTTTAAGCCAATGCTAGGTCTAAAATCGCTATTTTAATCCTATTTTTGACCATTTTCAGTACTTAAATCTAAGTTTTATGAGCTAAAATTGGCTTAAAAAGGTGATTCTGAAGCTAAAAAACCGGTTTTTAAGCCTGAAAAATCACTATATTAGGCCTAAAAATCCCTTTAAAAAATGGTCTTTGGGGCTATTTTCTGTCTGAAAAATTACATTTTTAAGCCATTTTCAGGCCAAAAACTGTTGTTTTCAGTCATTTTTCAGTCTGAAAATTGCAGATTCTCCCCTCTGCACGCCTTCACATTTGCTGGTGTCACTGGAATGGCTGGAATCGGACTTTTGGCGTATTATGCGAATCCGTTGGCTGCGGCTCTTGGAGCATTGAATTGGTTTATTTATGCAGGTTTGGGATTTTTTGAAAATTCTAAAATTCTGAAAATTCCAATAATTTGAGAATTTCTAAAATATTAAAATTCTAAAATTTTAAAATTTCAAACTTAACTGTTTGAAAAACGGCTCAAGAGAATTCTAGACGATTTCTGGCCAATTTGAGCCGTTTAATATAAATTTTGGCCAATTTTAACGAATTTCAAATTTTTAAAAAATCAATTTTGACCGTATTCAGGCATTTTGAGCTGAATTTTGCGTTCAAAAACACTCAAAACTCGGTAAAACAGCTCAAAATTGACATAAAATTATCTGAAATCGGGCCGAAACTGTCTAGAATAGCTATTTTTATCGAATTTTGAAAATTGAAAATTAAAATTCTGAGAATTATGGCCATTTTCCAATTCTGGCAATTTTGGCCATTTTTTCGGACCATTTTTTAAATTTATTTTTTGTTGGAATTTTGAGCTATTTTTATTAAAAATTTCAATTTAAAGGGGGACTCCGACCAGAAATTTTTATTGCATTAAAATGTGTTAAAATTTATCTATTTTCCGAATATTATTGCGAAAAAATTCAAAGAAAATCCGAAATCCCCGAAAAACGGCGTTGAAAAGGAAAAAAATTCAAAAAATGGTGCCGCCGGGGGACGAGGATTTTCAGTGAGAAACCTAGGCCAC